CTGAAACTGTAGGAGTAGGGGGCTCTAATATGGTCCAAACACAATTAAATCCTTCTAATGTTTCTGGTTCTAGTATACAACGGTCATATAGTAGAGAAAAAGATCTTGAAGAATTAGCTAAAATGATTGTTGTTATGGGTTTGCCATTTAGTTTTGTTGAAAATCTCGATTTTATTCATTATATTCAAATTGTGTATAATCCACATTTTAAAGGTTTTACTAGAAATACAATTAAAAAGGCTATTTTTGATTATCAAGCTCAACATTTTCAATATCTTCGTTGTTTATTTTATTAATATAATTGTAAAATAGCTATTACTTTTGATATGAGCCGTAGTGTAAATGATAATTATTATTTCACTATTATTGCACATTGGATAGATGAAAAATGGATTATGCAAAAAAGAATTTTAGGTTATAAATGTTGTGAAATGCATAAAATTGGTAGTTATATAGCTCAAACAGTTATAGATATTTTATAAAACTATGAAATTTGTGATAAAATAATTAGTGTCACCTCAGATAATGCTTCTAATAGTACAACTGCTATTGAAATATTAAAATTGTCTCTTTGACCTGTTTATATTGATGGTTTTCATATTAGATGTGCTGCACACATATATAATTTGATTGTTAGAGATGGTATAGCAATGTATAATGATGGTTGCATAAAAGTTGAAATTGCATGTCATTTTATTTTAAATGTCAAGTTAAGTCTAGACGTAGAGATTTTGAAAATCGTTGTCGTGAATTTAATCTTCCACCTAGAAAAATTTCAAAATCAATGTGTACAAGATGTAATTCTTTATTTGAAATACTTGAAGTCGCTTATGAATATAGGAAACCGTTACAAATGGTTTGGAATGCTCATAATTCAAATATGACATATAGACTTGATGATAATGATTGAAATGACGTAAAAGAACTTGTAGAATTCTTAAAAGTTTTTTATTTAAAAATAAATAAAATATCTGCACTTTATTATCCAACTATTTGCTCTGTTTTACCTAATATTTGTGCTATTTCTAATAAATTTTATAAATTCAAAAATAAACCAAGATTTGAAGAATCTGTTAAGAAAATGATTGAAATTTTTTTAAAATATTTTATTCCTATTCCTCAAATTTATTTAACTGCTTGTTTGTTAAACCCACATTACAAAGATGAAGGTGCATCACGAATGGTTGATAAAATATATTTTAATTTGGGCATTGATAGTGAAGATGATGAAACACCTAGTTGTCAAGATGTTAAAGATAGTATAAAAATTGAAGCTAGAAAATTGTATGACTTGTATAATTCTAATATAATGAATGTAGTACGTAATGAAGAGCCTCAAAGTTCTAGGAGTAGATATAATAATGAAGATGATATTGATGATATGATAGATGGTATTATTGAACTTTCTCATAATGATAGAAATGATTTTGATGCATATATTAATCAAAATACAGAACCTTCTGCGATTGATCTTCTAGAATGGTGGAGCAATCGCGGCCAGGGATTTCCAAAACTTCAACCGGTTGCTCGAGATGTGTTAGTTATTCAAGCATCTTCAGTAGCTTCGGAAGGTGCTTTTAGTGCAGCAAGATTTCAAATTGGAGAGCATAGATATTCATTAGCAGCAGATAGCTTGGAGATATCTGTACTATTTAGAGATTGGATTAATGGCGAGAGAAGGAGTTATGATCGTCCAGCTTTACCGACCAAATTTGAAAATGATGTTGATGAATTAATGCAAGATTTTAGTGACGACGGCATTGATGCATTGGAGAAACTATGTAATCAACCAATCCAGATCATGTTACAAGAGAAATGTTAAATGATTTAAGAAAAGATTTCCTTGGTACCATGAACTATTAAATTTAAATGTCTATTAGTATGAGTATGATAATTCGAGATCTAATTCAAACAGAACCCTTCCTAGAAGGTGGCTGTGTAGATTAGATCTTTTAATACTCTACTAATATTTTGTAACTCAAATTGTACTATTTAATTAATATTAATAAAACTATAGGCTATTCACCTTTTTTATTATTATTATTATTGTATTCAACTTTTATAACTTATAAAGTTTGAAATTTATACTTTTAAACTTTTAAAAATTGAAATTTTAACTTTTATAACTTTTAAAGTTTGAAATTAAATTTTTTAAACTTTAAAAGTTTGAAAATTTGAAATTTAGGGAAAATGCATAAGTACACCCCCAGCCTATGCCTGAAATCCCTGAGACACACCTAACATTTACTAATGTCCTATTATCCACCAAACTTATTTTATATATAATTTTC